AAGTGAGAATTCAGCACTAGTTCCAAAAACCTGTTAGAAAAATAATGGTATTCACTTTCAGATTTTTCCCCCCTTTTTTCCATTCTCCCTTCTATAATTTAAAGGGCTCTTCCTCTTTAGCCCCCTCTCTCTCTCTCTCTCTCTCTCTCCCCAGGATTTCATATCACCGAGCTATCTCAGTGCCTCAGGCCCATAGTATTCATCTTATTTATAGACCTAAATCTGCAATTTGTTACACCTGGACAGACTGCTGCACCTATACAGACTCCCACAGCTTTCAGGATCCCTTCTGCCAGTACAAACAGCAGCTCTGCTGGAACACAAAGGCAGCTTTCAGCTGGGCAAGGTTGTGAGCATCTCCCCCCTCCCCTGCCTCTCTCCTACATTTCCAATGGCATTCGCTGTAATCTGGCAAGCTCTCTTAGTGCTGCACAGACAAGAGCAAACAAAGCAATCCCTATCTGAAAAACTTTAATATCTAAAAGTGTATGTTTCCACCTTCCTGTGCATTTCAGGATATATCCTAGGGCCCTGACCCATCTCTCTCTCAGCCTCCACAATACGGCAAAAGTGGAAAGGGAGTCGAGGATTCACCACATAAAGAGGGGCTTAAAGCCAGGTCTACAGAAATGCAGGTCCTTGGAAGATCTGCTGTAAGTCCTCTCTCTGCTAGAGCATTTCTCCATTCCCCCTGTTGCAGCCATGTTATTCAATGCCAGGCTGGATGGGGCTTTGCGCAACCTGGTCTAGTGGAAGGGGTTAGAACTAGATTAGGTGATCTTTACAGGTCCCTTCCAACACAACCATTTTATGGTTCTAAGAATCTATCCTCCCCACAACTCTTGGGATACACTGCATTATGTGTTTCTGTCGTGGTTTAAGCCCAGCTGGTAACTCAGAACCACGCAGCCGCTTGCTCACTCCCACCCTTCCTCCCCACGCTCCCAGAGAGATAGGGATGAGAATTGAAAGAATGTAACTCCCACGGGTTAAGATAAGAACAGTCCAGTAACTAAGGTATAACACAAACCACTACTGCTACCACCAATAACAATGAGGGAAATAGCAAGGGTAGAGAATACAACTGCTCACCACCCGCCAACCGATACTCAACCCGACCTGAGCAGTGAACTAGCCCTTCCGGGTAACTGCCCCCACTTTATATACTGAGCATGCCATGCTGTGGTATGGAATACCTCTTTGGCTAGATTGGGTCAGGTGTTCTGTCTCTGCTTCCTCCCGGCTTCCCCTCCTCCCTGGCAGAGCATAAGACTCAGAAAGTCCTTGGTCAGAATAAATATTACTGAGCAACAACTAAAAACATCGGTGTTATCAGCATTGTTCCCAGGCTGAAAGTCAAAACCACAGCACTGCACCAGCTACTAGGAAGGAGAAAAATGACTGCTGCTGCTGAACCCAGGACAGTTTGCTGCAGGTTGGTTAATGTGGGGACAATGCTGATCATTCATCTCAGCACCAGCTGTCAGTTACTCCAAAAGCTGCCACACACCTGGAAATACACAACTGTGACTGATTCTCAGAAAAACATTTACCTTGACACACTCACTACAGAAGGCATTACCGTGCCCACCTCAGTCACTGTAAGTAATTTGTGTCCCTAACCACTGACAACCATTACAAATTGCACACCTGGAGCTGTTACAGACTCTATGTAGTTCAAGCCTATACTTCCCTCTTCCCTTTTAAAAACAGCTACATAATAGCTCTGCAGCACTATATGCAACCTTTAACATAAGGCATACAACAGGAATGAAAGACAGGAAATGGCCTCAAGTTGAGCCAGGGGGGAGGTTGAGATTGGCCATTAGGAAAGATTTCTTCACCAAAAGGGTTATGAAGTATTGCAGCAGGCTGCCCAGTGAGTTGAGTCACCAGCCCTGGAGGTATTTAAAAGACATGTAGATCTGGCACTTAGGGACATGGTCTAGTGGTAGTCTTGGCAGTGCTGCGTTAATATTTAGAGCCAATGATCCTAAAGGTCTTTTTCAGCATAAATGATCCTAAAATTCTATGATCTTTGGTAAAAATATAAAGAAAAAATAAATTGAAAAAATAAATTTAAAACATAAAAAAAAGCAGTTGAGTTCTAATGAATGCCTACAATAGCAGAACAATAGGGGCTCATCTAACATCTGTACTGTTTGACAGGAGCTGAAGCAGTTGTCCTTGGGATTAGTCTACCCTATTCCCTTGCCCTGGATCTTTAGGAATGGTGGTGAAACAGGTCTCTATGCAGCAGGAAGTCTTTCCAAGAGAGCCATTCACAGTTGGCAACTGGATAAAAACAATATTCTAAGTGTTTAGTTTAATTGCTTTATTTGGGTTAATAGAGTCCAGAATTCCTATTCACAGGTGGTGCAAAAGTCTCCACCAGCCCAGCTGGTAGCAATCCAGTTGCCCTGCCATCACCTGCTACTTATTTAGCAATGTTTAAAATCCCAACTTCTTCTACTATATATTTATGCCTTTACATGGCTTGTGATACCAGGCACGCTGCTGTAAAACCTGGGCATCTTCCCTTATCATCTTCTCAAGCTGCAACCCCAGGAGGAAGAGTGATGAAGTGAAGTTAAAACTTAAACAGGGGAAGTTTAGACTGGGTATAAGGAAGAAAATCTTTCCTGTTAGGGTGGTGAGGCACTGAAATGGGTTGCCCAGGGAGGTTGTGAATGCTCCATCCCTGGCAATGTTCAAGGCCAGGTTGGACAAGGCCTTGGGTGATATGGTTTAGAGCGAGGTGTCCCTGCCCATGGCAGGGGGGTTGGAACTTGATGATCTTAAGGTCCTTTCCAACCCTAACTATTCTATGATTCTATGAAGCTTTAACATCTTTGCCACAACACTGCACAGGTAACATTAAGCTGTTTTTTCCAGAGCCATCCTGGAATACCCTGAACCAGACAGGCTATGTGGCTTGCAGTCCTGCGTCCTCACTAGCAACGTAATTAACTTCAGCAGCAATCTAAGGTAACCCGCAGAGCAGAGAAGCTCTCCCAAGATGGTAGGCAGAAAAGACAGTGTCTTCCTATTTCACATCCCAGCTGCAATGAAGAAAATCCCAAAATCTAATCCATATAACTTTTCTTAGCTGTGATACAACATGCTTCAATGGGTGCATAGTTAAAAACATACAAAAAAAAGGAACTACGACTTTTTGTCCTACACAGCAGAGGGCACAAAACATTCAAAAATACAACTTAAACCACAAGACAAAAAGTCAGCATAAACCACAATAGCTGTAATAAATATTACCAATAATTTGACTTAATTGTTATGCCGTTAAAGGGACTGCAGAGACACATCGATGTATGAAAAGTCCCAAGGGATAGTAGGCATGTGCACATTTAATAATATTACATAGTATTGATGGTAACCACATGATAATTTACAAATTATATTGCTTCTAGCAAACACTTTTGATCATATCATCAAGTCTTTGGCTCCTAGCCCATCTCTGCAGAATTTCCTGAAGCAGTAGAAGACTTGGACCAGAATCACTTCACTCCTTTAGTTTCATATTTCCTTCTAAGTCCATTTACCATATAAAGATTTCTTAAAAGTAAATAAATAAATAAAAATAAAATAAATTAAAAAAATATGGATTTTTTTAAAAATGTCTGCCTTCCCCTGGCCTTATAAAGCACGGATCCTTAGTAGCTAAACCCAGATTTGCTACTAGAACATCCAGCCTGAGTTCCTGTGTGTCCCAGGCCTAGGAAGCATTAGCCAGCTGCTCGCCACTGACGCAAATTACTTGTGTTTCACTAAAGCACAGCTCCTAGAAAGGTGTTCTGTCTGAAGACTACCAATGAAAATCTCAATTGTACACATGTATCTGTGTTAATGATTACCAAACACAGTGTTAAATATCAATGTTGTATCTACCTGCATTTGTCTGGTTTCAGCTTCCAGTCATAAATTCCTTTGTATACATATCCTGATCACATTAAAGAGCCTGTTAACACCCAAGCCCTCTCAAAGGCAATGAAACAATAGGAATCTGCCAGACTTTCTGCTGTTTTCATGTTTAATCACCAACGTCTTTAAAATTATTTTCAGGTCTCTGAAGAAAACACCAAACAGCATTGGGCTTGGTTCAGACTTTGAAGAAACCAGCTAAAAATCTTCTGCATGCTCCCTATTTTTCTTCACATGTCTCAGATACATAGCTTCATATTCTCTGAGTGTACAGTGCTTGGGTGTTTTTAAACAGTAAGTTCTTTGGTACCAGTCAGGCATCTTATTTTAAACACCTAAGAAAATGTCATCTACCCATTAATTTTTAATCAAGTACATTGTTATTTCCTCAAAGAACACAGTTTGACTTGACAAAGAGTATTTATATAATTCCTAGAGAAGGTTAATATTATTACTGGCTGTCTGGATGAAAACATATCTACCAAAATAGATCTGCCAAATCTAACTCTCCCTAACAGTACAGCTTCTTACCATACAGACAGACACTGTGAGTGTATTTGTCTCTGCTTTGAAATAAACTCCCACCAATATCCCCTCTTCGCTTAATTGGATTGGATGCTGTGCTACATGTATTCAAGATCCTGCAACTCTGAGACACTTAAAACAAGTACCACTAAGTATTTGATTAATATTTAAACATAGCAAAATTGCCAAATATTGCAGGAGATATGTTTCTTGAGCAAGAGTCCCCTGACGCGATACCAGTAACTTCCGCTGAAAGGAGCCACTGATAGTTACTTGTACCCTGAGGGGGTGAATCAGAACCCTGGAGATCTACTTCAGTTTTCTGCTTTCTGTGCACATAAAAGCAGAATATATAACAAGGTCATGACAGGCCGAAAATAGCAAATTTTCAAGCAGTTGTAATTCAAATAGGTAGCAGATCTGCTGGAAATCAAGCAACTTGACCAGAATGCAGAATTTCTGAAGATCAGTGCTTTCATAAGCATTTTAAATTTACAGCTATTTCTCAAAAGTCAAGACAAACATTAGGTACATACTTCTCAGGGTTTTCCACTTCTTCAGTAACAAAATTGAGGTAAAACCTAGAAAAGAATTGTAAAAGCTATTAGAGGGCTTGGTAGATTTTGATTCTGTATTCCTTTCCCAAAGAATCAAGAAGATGCTTCTAGTTAAGCACCACTGTTAATTATAGCAGACTTTGCAGACCCATGATTGGATTCAGGAGAGTGTGAGATTTCACGTTCCCTCAGCCCCATGCCCAGGAAGGGAATTCCTAGAAATGATAACAAAGTAGAAAAAAAGACAAAAGCTCTCCAATGTCAGCGTGGAATTAAGTTTTTTTCCCCTGGCATACTAGGCATATTATGGTTTACCCTAATCTTATACACAAACGCACACACATACCCTAAAGCATCATATTCCATTTGTGGCTGTAGCCTTGTGCAGTTTCAGGTTGTATTGGCAAAAATTCTCAGCAAGGTACTTAGCAAGGACTTCTTTACAATAAAAATATGAGGCCTCAAAAAAACCCTCCTAAAACCAGTATTTTGACACTACTGTGTCATATGCAATTACAAACCCAGGCTGCTAATCCTGTGTGCTCTCACACCGCCTCCTGTACAAGTCGCTCTCTGGTCATATTCCAGCAGCATACAAGAGATAGCTATGTATGGGAATTCATAGGAACTATTCACTGGGCACAGCCCTGCATACAAAGCAATTGTAAGCCTCAAGGTCACTAAACCCTCTGTTCTGCATTTATTAGCACTATGTCTGCTCATCACTGCATCATACAGATGTGCCTGGCTCAGATGTGGGCACAAAGTCACATCCCGGCTAATTAAACAGAGCAGTCAATACAGTGCTCATGCTGGCTTTCTGCTTTTATGCAGGAAGGCAAATGATATCTTACCCAAGAGTGCTACAGTGAATAAACAGATGGTACCTGAGCTGACAGAAAGTCTGTGGATCTTTTCTCAATCACAGGTCTTGGAGCAGATCTGGGTTAGCAGAACAATTTAGCACTGGCTTGTGGTTTTGAAAAAATATGATTTTGTGACTGAGCACCAAATGCTGTAAAAACTAGATTTGCCATTTGTAGAGCCACCTCAGTACTTGTTTCTAAACTTGATATTGCACAGAGCACAAAAAAAGAGGTTAGAGTAGTTCAAAGGAGAAATGACTTTCAAAGAGTAAGACATTCAGCTCCTTTTTCTCTAGTCTTAGTCCTGTTCTAGACAGAAGTAACCTGACAGCCTGGCATCAGTGATGCAGAGACATGCTTCCTTGCATTCTTTTCTCTACTTGTCCTTTTTCACCTAGCATTTTCTATATCTCATAGTCTACACTTGCTCTTCACATGGATGAGCCCACACATATATAAGAGATAACACCTTTGGTTTGTTCTTTAAAGCTGTCATTAAAAGTTCATAGCCTCATAGGCTATGCACAAAACTTTGCCTAAATCCTCAGACATAACCCCAACACTTGTAATACTCCTTCACATTCAGCTTATTGGATTGATTTAGCCCTTTAAAACTGTTAGTGCAAGGGTATTGACATTCCACTTAATGGTCTGCTCTCCTATGCTCTGAGGCAATCAATTTGAGCTGGTGACAAATCGGCAGGTGGGAAGAACCACCAGCCAAATTAGATCTTTTCCTGCTAATTTCTTTTATAAGTAGCAAATAAGAACCTTGAAATAAAATTCAGAAGGTGCAAAGGAAAAACAGAGATTATTTTTATTGTAGGGATTTGGAACGTTTGGTGGAAAATGAAAAAAAAAATGGGAAAGAAAAAACAGAATAATAGTATTTTAAATATAACATTTTACATCAAGCAAACCGTACCTCAGTGATGAGCAACATAAAAGTGCTTTTAGAATTGCCTTCATACAAAAGCATACAGTTAGGTCAAAGTTTTAAGAGTGAGAAACCATCACATGTATGGATGTGAGAAATAAAGGCAGTTGTATGAGAGAGAGGGAAGAAGGTAGAGACTGTCTGCATAATGAGTTCAATTTCCTCGAGCCTTCAAAATACCAGGCTCTCATATATATATATTATATATATATATATATAATCTCAGATAAAGGGTTTAGACACTCTTGGATTCCCCCACCATCACCATTTAACATAAAAGCTCTGTTCAGTATTTCAGCATGTATGTTTATAATACTCCTGCAATCTGGGAGTTACAGACAGACAGAGAACTCAAATGCTCAGTCCGTTGTCCCTCCAAATTAAATATATAAATCCCTTATCTCTCTGCCCTCACCTTTTTATGCAAGATGAAGGGACTTGGCTGCCTGTGAAGCTATGGAAAGGGAAGACCTGCAGACAAAGCTGCCTCAGAATAAACCCACTCTGTTCACTGTAGTTGCCTTTTTTCCCCCCACACTGCTGCTGCAAAAGTATGTTGGCGCTGTGTAGTGTGGAGCCCTCACTAAGCATGAATAAATCGTAAGGCAGATTCGAAGCAGCAGTATCTTTCAAACCAGCTGCTGTGTACGTTGGTGGGGAGAGGGAAAGAACTTGAAATAAAGTTCTGAGTAGGGTACTTGAAGACAGATTCTCATATCTTTGCTTACAGTCAATAGCACTTGACTTCCACAGAAGCCAGTTGCTGTTCTTGTAAAGTGAGGTCCAATTCTCCCAGAGCAAAAGGCATAAGAAACTGTCATTTTATCTTGTTTTGTGGTCTATACTGATGTTATCATGGTTCTCATTCTTCAAATACTGCTTTTACAAAGCAAAGGCTGAGGTCCACACAACTTTGTAATAGTCCCTAGAATTATTTTTCATGTAATTACTTTCTTGCTCAACAAAAATTAAAGCTTCATTATCTCTTTTATCCTTTTATCCAGTTACTTGATGAAAATTTAGAAACATCCCTTTCTTGTTGCCTTTATTCCTGGTCTTAAGAACAGAAATAAAAGTCTGAGGGTTTGTTTGGGTTTTTTTTTTTTTTTAATGTCCAGTGCATGTTTACTTACTGCACACTGGAGAAAAAAATCTTTCCCTTGCAGAGCTGTTTGCAGAATAACTACTGAGCTTATGGAACAGTGGTAAGATCTCCCCTTACACTACATGATGCAGTTCGAATATGATGATCATTTCTTCATATAAATAAATCTCTTTGTTAGAGCATATATAGTGTTTATTTCAGGATAAATACTCACAAGTTTCAACAACTTACCAGCCTGAATAGGCATACATTCCTGAATAGAAAGCAAGTGGCAATCCCATAACACTGGCATCATTCCCCGCAAAGGCATTTTTAAAGTGCTGTGTTTCTCCTGCAACATCAACAAGAATCATTTTGAAAAATAAGCTCTTTTGTCGTCTCCTACTGTGACAAATATATCACACCATGAAACATTCAATCACCAAGCAGTTCACTAACTTCCAGCTCTGCCCTTGACCCTAATTTCTGACCCAACCCTTGCACCTGTAAGCTGCTACTGACTGTAAAGGTTTTGTGGTGTCTCTAAGTCATGCAATAGCAGAATTTGACCTATTAAGTTTTTTTTTCAAAGCACTCTGAGCTTGATGACACTCACTTCACTGTCATCTCCAGCAGTGACTTATAACAACACAGAAGAGCAGAATCAGCTCTGTTGTTTTGTGCTGTGGAAAATCTCACTTGTTGAACATTTTAATCAGAAGGAACATTGTTAATATTTCACTCAAAAAGGAGCATTTTTAAGGTAAATAAACCCAATATGTCTACCACTGAAAGATTAGCAATTCCCTTTATAATTAGTATTGTGTTAATATTACACTAAGTAAGAATTACAGACCTATAAATGCAATCATTTAAGAGTTACGTTGTGCTTTTACTCATTTACAAGGTCCAGTATGGTTTCTAAGACCTCCCTACAATATCCCAGATTTCCTGAGAAGCAATGATCCTCCAGTAAAAGGAGCAGGAAGAAACAGAATTCATTCAGAATTAAATTAGCAATAGGTCAAATCCTCTACCCTTTACTCAGTTTTTACTGAACCCTCAGTCTAAATTCTCACCAAGAAGGGGCTTTTTGGGTAAGGAAAGAGCTGCAGCCAGAGGTAGAACCCCAGTGGGGAGTCAGGAACACTGTCCAAGCTACTTAAGGGCAGCAAACCTCATCCAAGCCTGGGTCTGGCCTGCTTCAAAGGTCTAGGAAAAATGGGGCAGATGGGAACAGAGGGACATTTTGCACATGAAAGGAAGTAAGGCAAGAGGCACTGCAGCTGCCAGAAAGGAAGTGAAAAACACGAAAACAGAAACAGTGACTCAGTGGAGTGCTACACAGGAAAAGTTTTATTTCAGAGTCTATTGCTAACCACAGAAAGCCGCCTGTCCCTGAGCAGCTGAGCTCACCGCAGAACCTAGCACTGCGCTGTTGACTCAGGCAGGAGGGTTTGCGCAGCACCACAGAAGAGCATCCCAGGGACATAGCCAACAGCCATGATAATTTTTTCTTAGATGAAATCTACCATCGATTAATTAAAAAGTGCTCCCCATTCTGGCCCTCTTCACTGAATGGCTTCTTGGGCTCCCTGTAATTACTCTCTCGCGTTACTGTAATGAGAGCGAGCTAGGGCCTCTCACCATCTCACAGCTGCTGCTGACAGGGATCTAATGGAAAAGCCTTTTCAGGTAGCAGAGCGTAAAACAGTGAAAAGAGTTTCTCTGCAGGCATGGCTTTACCCAAACAACCTCCAGAGAGCCAAAGAACGGCCTCCACAGCTGTGTTCGTGCTGGGTGCTGCTAGGGAGAACAAAGGTGTGTTTTCACACTCCTTGCTTACACAGCAACATTGATAAAGACTGTAGAGTCATTCTGTCCTTCCAAAGACTTCTGATCTCCTTTCCTATGCTTGGGTTAGCCCCAGACTATTGCATTTAGCTGCATGCTTTTTTTTCACTTGGAAAAAGTAAAGCGTGCCTGAAGCATGAGCATTCAGTACTTGTAAGCAGGAAGCCCATGAAAGCGCTTTCTGACTACAGTTTCTCTTGCCAGTACAGCACCTTTAACTTCACAATTTACATCACCAAAGTGGTAGAACCGCATCCATGATACCGTTTCTTTCATATATTCCCCAATACTGGGCCTCCTGCACCACCATATAACCAGTACCAAGCAGACTAGGCATTAGCCCAGTTAAAGGAGACATACTCTGCCCCAGATAGGTGTGTGCTCTGGGGAGGGATATACCCATCTGTCATTAAAACCCATCCTGCCCCTGCCACAAAGTTCACACCAAAGGCAAATTACAGAGAAGAGCAATCCTGTTGCTTATTTAAAACATGACTCTGATCTGAATAGACTCATTGGCATGCTGAAGGAAATACCAGTTCATCCCAGTGTAGTTCCACTTCTAACCAATTACATGACAGTACAGAGCTTTAGTTTAAGCAAGCACAGACTAATTAAGAGATTTTGCTGCTATAAGCATTATTTGGTGGAGGCAGGTGGGGAAAGACTGGGGAGGGTAAAGATAAAAGCAATTTAAAAGCATTTACTTTTCATTTCATACCTCTAATTAGCTGGATAACTCCAGGGACTATAATTATCAGAATTGCTACAAGCTTGCAAAAGGTAAGGAATATCTGTATGCGGGCACTCCAGCTGACACTTGTGCTATTCAGGACCATCACCAGCGCTGCAAGGGGAAAAAGAAAAATCAGAAAGAAATAGTAATGCTGCTGAAATTGTCACAAAATTCTTCACCAGCAGAGAGGCTGTACACCCCCTAGATCCTGATGCATTAAAGGAAACACACCCTGATAACCTTCTTCAGCTTCTGCTAGCCAGCACCAAATTACAGCTTCGTTTACCCAGAATTGTTACCTGCTGGCAAACAACTGGCTGGCAGGGGCCTGCCTTGAATAAAAGAAACTAATTGCCCAACCCTTGTCACTCCAGATTTCTGTATCAGTCAGTGCCACTTTGAGTAGAGATTTGTATTTTCAGAAAACAGTAACAATTAATGATCATATTAAACTTTCACACCCACATTTAGCCCCCACATAAATTGGTCACTCACTCACTACCTTATTTACCTCTTTTCCATGCTTTCTCCTCTCTTACTGCTGTACCACCAAATATACAGGAAGGCAAGAGTGCAAGTAGCATGCCCATCCTTGCTGGGAATTGGTGAAGAAATAGAGAGTTTTAACTTTTAAAAACAAAGCCCAGGTCTGCAATATGTAGAGAGATAAGTGAGAAGGACTTTTACGTCCTGTCTGCTTGGTTCTCATCTCCTTCTGGGTCAGGGAGGGCATCTTTTGGCCTTTACTACAGCACTGACTGACAGGAGGACTGTAAGTCTTATCATTTGAGTGCCAGTTATTCTAGCTTATTTAAACTATTACCCTGGAAAAACATAATCAGTAAAGGAGTTTACATTATGGGTTTTTTTAAAGTACCTAAAGAATGGAAAATGTGAGTCACTTCACAGATAAAAAGTCCTGTTCCCCCTCTGCTGTTGGGAAAGGAGAACATAGTCAAACAAGCCTGCTGACTTTTCTTCTCTTTCTTGCCATCATATGGAGCTAATGAATTAGCTCCTCACCAGAGTCCTCCCATACTTCAAACTCTTTTAAGAGCATTGATTCATCTATATCATGAGCCATATCAACACATCCTGGGGCACATAAAAACTTGAGTTGCTATCTCCTGCCAGAGTCTGGGAGCTAGTTTGTACGAGCTGGCATTGTAAATCTGGCATGGTACAAACTTTCTGGCAGCAAACCATACTGATTTATCCCAAGTCTTTTATACAGATTCTGTTCACCAGCAAGGCCAAAACATACATATCATAAAAAATTCTCAGTTTAAACAAAAGTTTAATGGAAAAGGAAGAAAATTCCAAGTAATCTGTATTGCAATGTACTTTTTAGATATTTTTAATCAAATAAAAATTCCAGGAAAAAAAAATATGAAAGTGTTTCCTGGAATTTTTATCTGGGAGGAGATGGCCCCACTCTCAAATGTGCAATTTACAAAAGTCAACATATATTCTCAACGTCACTTAATGAAAATTTTTCACAAAAAAAAAATCTTAAAGTTCAAAATGTTTTTCCAGTTCTGTATTTCACCATATTTTGGACCTGAGGCATTCTTATCTAAGTCATGAAGAAGTCACTTAAACTTCTGCAAAGTTCCACTTGAGATCCAAACACTTATTTTTTGCTTTATTACTTCCATGTATACCTATACTTGCCAGGAAACAGAAAATCCCACGGGCCTGATTCATTACTCTGTTGTCCCTGACATACCTTCATTTTTAAATGCTGAAAGATTGCTTTTGGTTGCTGCTGAATATTAACACTGATTGAGGCTCCCCCTTTTTTCTCAGGGCTTGATTACCAGGAAGGTTAACAATTGTCATTTAAGCAAAATGTATTCAAAATATTCATTAGACCAACAGTGTTTATTTATGAAGGACTTATAAAGACAATCCAATGCCATAAGCAAGCACTGGCTTATTTCAAATGTCTAAGAAAGTTCAGGATATCATACCTTTCTTTCCCAGAAGACGAAGCCCAGTCAGAGACCAGGAAACAAGAAAATATCAAGGAAGAGTTTAATGTGTAAGAAAGTATCAGATATTGACATCCAGCTTACTCAGAATTCAAGCTGACTGCAGCTGTCTGTTACTTTACACAGGTCAGAACAGCTAGCATGAGCAGCCTCTCTGTAGAGAGCCCCCCTCAAGGTTTTCTAATGCATCTGATTCACCTTTCTGATACACATACAAGAATGCCACTGCATAGCAAACTAGTATAAACACTAAGGTCAACTCACACTGAAACTCAGAACCTTCCTTGCTGGCCAGCCACCCACAAATCACAGCCCCAGATCTGTTGGCGATCTACACTAGCTTGAAAATACAAAATGCAGGCTGGTATTTTCATGAAGGCAGTCCGATCACAAGCAGTGTTAAAACTTCTCCATTCCATTGTGAACTCAAGCCAGCCAAATGTTTCATCTGCGGCTTTCTAATGAAATAGTGAAAGCAAAATGGACACTGTGAGGACCTTCATTTAATTGGGAAGCTGAAGTGGCCCTATACCTGCACAGTCCAGTGCACATGCCACTAGTTTTGATGGTCCTCTGTCAGAGTAAGTCCTTTGGACAACTACACAAATATTTGTTCAGGTTCAGGGACTCAAGTTCTTATAAGAGTTATGACTGATTTGGTATTTTGGGGAATTTCATTTTATTGGACTTAATAGGCTACAAGAATTTACAGCCTACTTATTTAGTCTTAGCAGTTGTATGCGCATAACAGACATATGGGGATATAGGGCTTATACTGTTATCATCTATCAGCACCATACTGGTTGTATTAGCAACTGGATAGCAAAAGGAAACAGAAGAGTCATGAAGAAAGCTGCTAAAGACCAGGAAAAGAATATGACAGCTGTGACAGGATTCAAGAAGGAAACTATCTTGGGACTGTAGTCATTATTGAGCACATCACTTCTATGAATAGGGCCTTATGGAGATACTTCAAGAAACTGATTGCAGACACTGTGATACAGAATCACATCAAAGATCAGAAGGAAGCAGCAACTCCCCAGACAAAAGGACAGTGAAAGGAGGACTCATGTCTAACTTTGCTAACTAGAAGTCAGGCATCTAGCATGACTGCACCCCCAGTGAGGATACAGTTACCTCTAGAGGATGAATAACAACTCTTCCAGACGCTCATCTCAGATGAGACGAGTGGTCTTCAGGAAGCATCTGTTCCCCTCTTTCTCCACTACAGGGAGCATAGACAATTACCTTAAACTAAACACCTAACTAAAAGCAAAATGAATCCTGACCGATCAGAATAGGGAGGGAAAATAAAATGGGGCTCATGAACAATCAAACACAATGGTGACAAGAAACATATTGCTTTTCACAATCCCTTTCCTTCACACAGCCACAGCTATAGCTGGATAACGAAATCTAATGGGAGAACTAACAGTAGGCATTACATTCTAGCCTACTTTTCAAGACTATATGTACCATTGCCTCAGAAGGAAACCAAGGTAACTTCCCTCCCCTCACTTGTCAGGCTTTTAGGGTCAAGATAGTCACACACAGCAAAAAAAAAGAAAATTCCCTCAATTTGCAGATCCTAATGTGTCAATTAAAACAGGCACAGGAGGCACAAGAGCACCCACCAGAGCAGCTTTTGCTATCCCTGCAAGCCAAGAGATGTCTTAATTTGAACTGCTTGTCTGAAAACTGTCAGCATTGGCCATGACAGGGACAAAAAAAAGCAACTAACTATAGACTCACATACACACCAAATTTATGCCAATAAAGCTTTGGGCTGGAGTATTTGCCAGCAAGCACTGATAGATGTGTACAGCTGACCTTCGTTTTCAAGCAAAACACTGCCTCTAACAGCCATAGTTTTTAACAGCCTGATATTTGAGGGGTTTTGGCAGACCTCCAAAAAAAAAAAAGGGGGGGCGGTATTTTATATTATTGTAGTGTAAAATGCCCAAAATACACATGAATGAGCATTAAAACCTTAAAAACACGTGCAGTTTGTCTCAATTTTTAATAGCTGAAACATGTTTATCTGCTTTCTGATATAGAAAAAAGATTAGAATAGTTAAGATTGCTGATCTATTCAGGTTACATATTGATAGTACAGTTCAATACCTTTGCACAGTATAATTTATCCCTTCCTGTTACCAATATATTTAAGTTTACCATTAGCAGAAGAATTGAAAGATACTGATAAAGCAATATATGAATAGGGAAGTTTTGCACTGTCTATCACCATGCTTTGCAATCATGATAGGATGTTTCTTCATTGTAAGAAATAATAAATATGTGGTCTACCAGCTTTCACATAAATAGAAAAATGAATTTTTAACTCTTCCTTCTAAACAGACAGTCTTCAGCACCAGAACAAATGTGAACATCATCCCTTCTGCTTTGTGTTCTGGGGCTGTTGTGTCCAACTCAAGAAAAGCTGGCATTTAAAAGGCCTCTCCTCCTGCTTGTATTTCCTTCAGCTGTCCTTCGTTATGCTGGGGAGCATCCAGGTTCTCCCTCTTCTACCTGGCCACTTATTTTCATAAAAATTGTAGTAATCAGATATCTTTGAGCTGTCTGCTCTTCTCTCCAGTACTGACCAAGATATTCATATCCAGTATTTGCCTAGGTTTTAATCCTTGCAGAGATACACTTCACAGTATCACAGTATCACAGTATGTTAGAGATTGGAAGGGACCTCAAAAGATCATCTAGTCCAATCCCCCTGCCGGAGCAGGAACACCTAGATAAGGTTACACAGGAACGTGTCCAGGCGGGTTTTGAATGTCTCCAAGGAAGGAGATTCCACAACCTCCCTGGGCAGCCTGTTCCAGTGTTCCGTCACCCTCACTGAGAAGAAGTTTCTTCTCAGGTTTAAGTGGAACCTCTTGTGCTCCAATTTGTACCCATTACCCCTTGTCCTTTCATTGTTTGCCACTGAGAAGAGCCTGGTCCATCCTCGTGACACTCCCCCTTTATATATTTATATACACTAATAAGGTCACCCCTTAATCTCCTCTTCTCCAAACTATAGAGACCCAGCTCCCTCAGTCTTTCCTCATAAGGGAGATGCTCCACTCCCTTAATCATCTTAGTTGCCCTGCGCTGGACTCT